TAGCTAGTCATCACCACCCACCGCCAACTCTTGGGCTAGTCTTTTATCAACGAATAGTAGGATTGACCGTCACATTATAACGCCCCCACGGCTGAAAGAGCGAGCATGTTTGGTGTGACGGGGATTCGAACCCCAGATTGTGAGTCGAGCACCCTAACCACCTGGCCATGCCAGGCCAACTCTGTAAGACTACAAATGATTCATCAGGTGGTGTGCAATATGTATTTTCTTCAACGTTATTTTATAATTATACCTCTTATCATTTTGCTTCCAGACACTACACGATAAACATTGCTTAGAAGATCTTACGCAAGTAGACACTACGAACAGTACACAGTAGGCAGTGCACGACAAACGCCACGCAAAATACGTTATTTTTACATTTTATGTGATCCTACTGGCCTCTGTTTTCCCTACATTTTAGCACAAACACTACGATGTTTAACAGTTCTTGATCTGGAAGGGTAAAATCACCTAGCGGTTAGTAAGCAAAGCACAGAAATAACGAATAAAGTCATCTAGATTTTGGTACCCAAAGGTCAGAAAGAACGAATAAAAATAACCTAATGGAGAATGAATAATATCGCCTACGGGTTATTAATCAGAGCTCAGAAGAAGAAAAAATATAATAAAATCAAGTAGTGATTAGCGATCAAAGCTCAGAAAGAAGGAATAAAATCACCTAGCGATTGGTAAGTAAAGCTCAGAAAGAATGGATAAAATCACCTAGCGGTTAATAAGCAAGGCTCAGAAAGAACGAATAAGATCACCTAGCGGTTAATAAACAAGACTCAGAAAGAACGAATAAGATCACCTAGTGGTTAGTAAGCGAAGAAGAGTAAAAAACGAATAAAAGCTCTGAAAAAAAAATCACCTAGCGGTTAGTAAACAAAGCTTGGAAAGACTTGAAACTGGTAGTAAAAGGTTAACATAAAAATATCACCATCACATATCCTAGTCGAATATGATATTTTTCAAATCTTTTAACTAAAGCCTCTATAACTGACTTTGTAACTGTACTTGGAAATTTAAATATACCGTATTTTTCGGAATATAATACGCACCCTTATTTTGAAGACAAAGTTTTGGGGAAAAAAGCTGTTGTCGCATTTGAAAGATTTTTATTGAACAAAAATTCAATATGATACTTGAAAAATTAATATATATTGTTCTAAACA